AGATTTTTAGTTAGTTTTTTAATTAATTTATTTTATTTATATATGTAACGCCTTTATTGATGAAAATGAAATGTAAAGAGTAGAGAAGCGCAGCTAACGTGATGTTTCTAAATCTAAATTTGATCAGTGTTGCATATAAAATCAGACGTGTTATGGGTACATATATTTTTATTTATCAGATCATTTGATATGTTTTTGTTTTCTGTATACACACGGATACGTAGAAGTATTAATTGTCTATCGAGTGTTCATCTTGTAGAATTAAGTTTCCATTAAGTTTATGTGGTTACAAAATAAAGGCAAACCCAAATTCAATAATCTGTATGAATAATATAAAGATACAATTTATAAATTACATTCCGAGATTGAAATTTATTCATGTTTTGCTTGTAGAATGTTTTTATAAAAGTCAAGAATCAACTTAAACACAAAATGGTCGTGTTCGTTCGTGCATGCAATTAGAAGTCATTGATTTGTTACCCGTTCGAACCGAAAAATATATTTTACTGAAAATATGGCTTTCAACTTCTATCCAAATAATTTAGCTAGGGTAATTGTTTCTGTAATCGATTAAGGAACAATAAAATGTTTTGTCCTCCAGAAATTAATCGAAAGTCAAATCAAACCTGTGAAATTTTCTACCAGGCCAAAGTTTTATTTTTTGTCAATTGGAAATATTTTTGTAATTTCAACGAAATTCATGACTTCGATCAAGATTGTTTTTTTTAACATTTCACTCTAAGAATTAATTTTCATAGTTTTTGACCTGTTAATGAGATACAATTTAGTAAAGTATTCATCATTCGAATATTTTTAGAAATACATTCCGTTCCCTGCTCGGAATAATATTGTAAACAACCATAACGGGACGAGGAACGATTAAAAGCATCGCGATTTAAAATCATCCACCAAAAAACACCTTCTTTGAAAACACTTAAAAGAAACGAGGAAGGTATGTGACGTTTGAATACTTTTTAACGATTATCCATTCTAGAAAAATTGTTCCTCGACTTCTTCGGAAGAAACGTAATTTTCATTTCTGCACATTTTACGACAAATGTAATATTCCAGTAAAATCCGACAAGAAATCGAGATACCGATACAACGAGGCATCGGAATCTTTTTGCTACGAGTACTGTTATCGATCTCTTATTGGATCGTTACGAAACATCTAAACGCATTCTCTTTGTTTTTATTCGTTGCATTTTACATTCATCGTTTTTATCCCATTCGTCTCTTTATTGTTGAGAATCCAGGAACAGTGAGAGAAATATTCCATAAACTCTTGGACGGTTATTCGTAATGTAACAAATAAATCGTCGAACAGAAAAAATCTAGTTCGCACTACTTCTCAGATCTGATAAGAAATTTTGAAAAGAAAGTGTATCAAGTTTGGAACACATATTAGATGACAATTTTTTCTAAGTTCCAGGATCTATAATAATCTATACTGGGTGTTCGAGCATCCCTGGGAAAAATTTTAATGGGAGATTCTAGAGGCCAAAATAAGACGAAAATCAAGAATATCAATTTCTTAACTGAGGCTTCATTAAAAAGTTATTAAAAAATTAGATTAAAAAGTTTCCAATCATTCTGGAAAAATTATTTTCAGTTGCAGGGGTCAATTATAATCATTTTTGGTGAATAGACAAACCCCCAAAATCCATACTCTATTACTTTTTGTATAACAGTGGTACGTTCTAACGTCTGTGATAACAAATATTTTAGTTTAATCTTTTTATTCTGTTCGAGACTATTTGACCTGAAACAACCCCTTTTTGCAAAAACACAATCGTTGTATTTATCTTTTATTCGTTGGACGTTTTCAAGATTAATTACTCTTTGGAATAGATATTTTTGTTCTACTTAAATTTCTAGTTTTATTTCTTTGGAATAGAAATTTATATTTTTATTCTACAGTAAGAAAGAAGAAACTTTTGCACGAAACTTACAGTTTTACGAGACTTTGTTTAAAAACAATGTATTGTTTCGCTATTCCCAAATTAAAGGATGAAAAATTAAACTATATAGACAAAATTTCTTTGTTTGATGACCAATGTTGGACGCTGCCTAACGACTATATTTTCAACTCTACAATTATACAAGAGATCGTTATAGTTATTTCACAATTACTATCCAAACAGTTCTGTTAACGATAATTGTACAAGTTGTTGTACTAAATTATTGCCTATTACAATGGAGACGATTTTAAAAACATTGCAAAAAGTGTACACAATTGGATAGAAGCATAAAAATGTTTTGTTCTGGAATGACACAAAATACTGATCTTTATAAAGCTCGTAAGAAAGAACGCTGTCATTAATTTCTGAATTGCAAAAGAGAATCGAAGAGCATTGTAGTTGCCCTACAGCCTAAAGGATCAACCAAGTCATAAATAAAAAAGTTTCGTTGTTAAAACCTTGGTGAAAACTGTATCAGTGAAACGGACAAATCTTGGCAACTTTAAAAATGTTCCTGTTAAATTTACTTTTTGCAAACCTTAACGCTAACAAGGATAAAAAATATCTATAGTTCCTATCAGAATGGTTCGATACAAGACAATCAATTTCAAACGTAACGACGATGTTGAAACGTATCTCCGACTCGTCACTGACCATGAGCCCAAGCACCATGGTTCTAAAAAGCTCAACCAATTGGTAAAGTCTATGGTTCGTTAGAAAGTACGCAGATAAAGGTAAAAACCGTGTGTCTATAATCACCGACATCTTGTTCGAACAATCCCCTAGGTCCAAAGTAGTCATCTCTTTATCCTAATACTTCCCGGAACGAACCAAGGACACACAGCAGGACGACGCTTTTAAAAGTGGTTTAAAGCAACTATTAGGCAGGGAAAAGACGACTCGAGGGGAACACGTTGTACCCCTGAAGAATGTCTCCTGGCTTCGTCTCGCCGTGAAGACGCCCCTGGTATCAGGTACCCGCGCCACGAACGGGCCCCGTTTTATCTAAATGACGTGTTTTCGTCCTTCCTTATCTTGAAGAGTCTCCACTACATTCGACTTTCAATGCGTCTACAGATACACGCGGCAGAACGCTGCTGACCCGCTATTAACATTCCGGGCGTGGTTTCCATCTCGCGTTTTCCCTTTCAATTTCTCGAATGCTCCGACACGAAACTCCGATAAAAGTGCAACGCAAACAGTTTCGTCTCCGTGGACAGCTGTTTCCGGAAGAAGGGTTCGTTCCGTGCAACTTGGTTCTTGGATTTATTCGATCCGTTGTCCGTAGAAATATGGCTGAGAGTTGCCAAAATCCCATTCATATTTTATGTTATTATACTCTTCTGTCTATAAGTTACTAAATTGCACACTAATATTAGATCTTAACACTTTGACGGCCGCTGTCACGTATACGTGACTTTGCGAGCTAGCTAACGTCGGCCATTGTCACGTGTGCGTGATCTACTGTATCAGTCACCATTTCATCATACATTCAACTTATTACGTTTGTTTATATTTATAATTTCTTATAATAATTGTATTCCTAGCATCTTCGTGTATCTCACTTTGGTCTACAATATCAATGGTGACAGACAACGGTCTTCGCGTGATACGTGCGGCCATTAAAGTGCTAAGGATCTAAAGTGTCCTAAAGGAAGTTACCATTTTGTTTTTAAGTAAATTTTAAAAGAAATAATATAAATATACATATTTTGTACTAGAATTTAAAGCAATCAAACATACCACAGAATTTGATAAACAAATATTTTTTTGGTAAAATCATCAATATGAAATGTTTTTGATTTTTTATTTAAATATTATTGAATACAAAATTCCCTAATACGTTGATATTTTTAAATTTGTTACCCACTAAAAAGTGTTGCAATGTATAACATAAGTGGTTAAGACAATATTTTCAAAATAAAGAAGGCATGATCAAATTCCAAACTTTACATAATTTGTCTTTTTATACTTTTTATTACACGTCTTTATAACTTTGCTTTTATTCAATAATTCTTGTCATTTTACATCTATCGATTGTAATAATTTTTCGGATTGCTAACAATTTATATGAGAAATAATGGTTTTATCGTTTGGTTGCAATAATTCACAGTACAAAATGCCTTGATCGTCTCACCAAATAATGAAACAAAACGAGGTTCTAAGATTTATCGTTGTGGTGGCTCTTATTTATTGTCCTAGTAATGTTTTTACCGAGGATTATCGTATAAAATCCATTTCTTATCAGATATCCCTGAAAAAAAAATTTTGTTTTTCTCTTGCAAATCGTATGTTATGAATTTTATTCTCGTCAGTTTAAAAATAGCTGCTAACATTTCCAAACGTTTCTTGTACACACTTCATTCAAATACTATAAATTCTATTATATTACATATAAATGATTTTATACAGTAAATTATTAAAAACAAAAATGATAATAATAGTAATGAAAAAAATTAAGTATAATGAATAAAATAAAATCTAGCAACTGCTCGTAATTCTCCTATACTTCGATAAATAATTAAAAAAAAACTATAACTAATCTAACCTCAACAAAAAATATCAAAATATTAATAAATTTAGATAAAATTAAAATTATTAATAATTATATCAAAAAATTAACGCATAAATTACTACAATAAATGAAATTCAGTGATATAATTGTGTTTATTGAATTTCTTGTCGAATGTCGTTTTTGAACCGTTCAATCGTGGTCCGTTTGTTTGCATAGATTTTTAATTTTAAGCTTTAAAGGCAAAACTCTGGGATAGTTAAATCAGTAGACTATATCGATGTTAAAATTAAATACGATTTCATTATGAAATAAATAATATTCATATGAACGCAGTAAATTTACATTTTTCTTTTTCATAAATTTTGTTCCAGTTAATGGAACATTTTTTCTCTTATATTTTATTCTTATATTTTAGAGCCTTGTGTATCCAATTGAATTGACAATTTCATTGGAAGCGTGTAATCCATAAAAATTGCGTGGATATGTGGAGCGCAGCGATGTATCACGAAATGCCAGAAACTCACCTCCATTTTGTCCGTCTATTCTGAAACCATGTTTTCACTTGGGCATCCGTCATCTTCAAGGACTTCGCCAGGGCTGCTCGCTCGGCCGATGCTAAATACTTTTGTTTGTGAAAACGTTTTTCAAGCTCGGCAATCTGGAACCTGGTGAAGCTCGTCCTCGGTTTCTTTCTCTTCGGCGGTGTCCTGTTTTGGTACGGATGACCGATCCTCCTCGGGAACGCTCCAGCTACTGTAGGAGGAAGATCGCAGCTTATTAACCTTTTCTATGATTTATTTGCAAGCAATCGTATCAATATAAATGATCAATCTCACAGAATTACATACACCCATTTGACACGAGGCTATTGTTTATTTTTATACTGAAAAATTAACGAAACATTCTTATTTCTCTTTGTAGAATAAAAATCTGTAAATCGAAATATAGATTTCTATTTGAGCTTCGAATTATCATGGGAACGCTTAACAAATAGAAAGTAAATAAGACAATTATATTTTGAAAATGTGTTGTTTTCGAGATGTTTAGATGCAAAGGTTTCAAATGAATATCCTGTGTGTGTTATCTTCTTGTCATTTCCTCTAAAATTATTCAGCCCTAATATTTGTGCTTAAAATTGTATGCTCTCAAAGGATTACTAAATGCAGGATTATCGAAATTTTCGTGTTATCCATAATATTGTAATTTATAGTGCATCTGTGAAAGTTTGCAGTTACACAGTGCAAAAACAGCTGTGAGTGTGAAACAAGATTGGATAAGATAACTGTTTATGTAGGATGATTGATATAAAGTACTGTAGAGTGTCCGATACGGTTATCTTCGAAGTTTAAGGATGCTAATTTCAGTTTTTCTTACAATTTATTACTCGTATACTTTATTAGCACCCGGATATTTAATTCGTAATTTATTTGTTTCAATCTCTTCCAGAGGCATTCAATTTAATCTATTGTATTCAAGATTCAGTCAAAACAATTCAAATTCCTACACGGGGAAATGAAACATTATTGGTGAAATAAATTTGTCGAATTATTGTGTGTTCAAATGTTAAACGTTGATTTAAAGTTAAGTGACACGAGTCAACGAACAAATTTATATATTTATGTTTCATTCTATTAGTAAAGAATTTTATTTTCAATTACGTGTGCAATACTGACACGATATGTTTATTGTAAATTTATACAAGGATCCCAAAACTTGGTGGATCGATGTGATTGAATGTTGATGTTCCAAGCTACGAAATTATTGCGTATTTCGTTCCAGATAATGCAATACGGCGTGATTGTGCAAAGAGACCAATGTAAGTGGGACTTTCTATTAGTTTCGCGTCAATAATTTTCAACGTTTCTTGCTTCTTATCCGTCGTATAATGTATTTCTTTCTGATCTCGGGACAATAACTTTTCTAGAATTTCCGCGGAAGACTCTTAGATAACTGGACACAAGTACAAAAGAAGTGGCGAATAAATTATTAATAAAACTACCACCCATTTAAGGGAGTATTCTATTGTAAAATGTTTATTTTTAAGTTCTTTTCTATCATTTGGTGGCATAATCTATACACAACTTTTTTGTCGAAATTTCTCACATATATTAATTAATATTTATGAAAAATAAAAAAGTTGCAATTTCAATTATATTGACTAATTCCATTCTTTTCCTTCTTATACTTTTCATTGAATTTTATCCTTCTTTTCATTTTCTGAAAATTGATCCAGAAGAAATAATTCGATCAATACTTTCTTTACTTTTGTCATCATAGTAGTCAACTAACAGCCTATTTATATTTAAAAATTAAAATAATATTCAATATTAAAGTTTTACTCAATTTGTTAAAAAAAAATTTGTCTGTTTTCCAGGTAAGATTTCTTGTAGAAGCAAATTCTATAAAATAAAACTTCACTCTTTAAAATGATATCAAAATGGATACTGAATTCATAATTAAAAAGTGGAATGACAATAGAAGACATTCAATCAAGTATGGCTCGAAAAGTGTGATTTGGATTTGTTGGAAATAAGATTTGAAGAATCTTTTTTTTAGAGGAAAGAAAACAGTATGAGTTTAATATTTGTTACACACTTATAATGCAACCTTTTTCTTTTGTAATACACAAATATTATACTACACATACGAACTGAGTTCATCCAACGCGAATAATTTAAGTACATATTCAGTGCATCAAATTTTATCACTCACCATTTAATTTCAAAAAACAAAATCATTATAAACGATGACTTTAATCTCGTGTGGTTAGAAGATACGCCATTTTGAAACCGTGTAGTTGCGTCTAAAATAAACAAATGGTGCAAAAGATCGTATTAAGTATGACTTATACAGGGTGTTCGGCCAACCCTGGAAAAAATTTTAATGGGAGATTTTAAAGGCCAAACTAACAATAAGACGAAAATCAAGAATACTAATTTCTTGATGGAGGCTTCGTTAAAAAGTTATTAACGTTTATAGTTCAGCCCGTGCTGAATCTAGAAAGTGGGTAGGATTTCGGGGGTAGGTCTATTCACCAAAAATTATTGTAATTCACTCCCGTAACCGAAAATAATTTTTTAAGAACGATTTGAAACTTTTTTTTTGCTGAAAAATTTAGTCTCCTGCCCCTGGTTGATTTTTCTTAAAAATTCGTTTTTGATTTTTAGTAATTTTGTGTGACGCCCTACAGAAAAGTTGTCTAATATTCACTATTGTAGAAGTTACAGCTGTTTGAAAATTGGACCATTTTTATGGGGTTTTTCTTATTTTGTGGGGTTAAGGAATAACTTTTCGAATATTTTTGGAATTTCTACATATTCTTCACCAAAATACGCGTCGTTTGCATTTTGAAACATTAAAATGGTACAATCCGTTCAGAAGTTATGACATTTTAAAGATTCGTTTTCAGGAAAGCATTTCCGGCCTCACATTAGATATTAGCTAAGGAATTTTTTTCTCGAAAATAGGTAGGATTTCAGGGGTATGTGTATTCACCAAAAATGATTGTAATTGACCTATACAACCAAAAATAATTTTTTCAGAATGATTGGAAATTGTTTAATTTAATTTTTAATAACTTTTTAACGAAGCTTCAGTTAAGAAATTGATATTCTTGATTTTCGTCTTATTTTGACGTCTAGAATCTCCCATTAAAATTTTTCCCAGGAGTAGTCGAACACCCTGTATGTTCGTGTAATCCTCTATAGTTCAAATTATGTTTGACTTACAAAATAAATTATACAATATGATCTTTGATAAATACTAATAACGAGATACAACTTGGAAGGTAAATTTCAGCAGACATAAATTTTCAACTGAACTTACACTAGTGTGAGATATTGTAAAATAATTGTTTTACCCTGATTTTAGAATGGGGTTATAGAAGGTTAACTAATAACGAATAAAGTCAAAAATTGACTTTCTTTGGTTGTTTTTCGTAACAAATATCTCATTGCGACGACGATTGAAGAAACGGGGATGGCGAACGGAAGAAAACAAGCGGTGAAATTCCAGGATAAAGTGGCGACGTCGAATTATGTGCACGGTACCGCGGGAATTACTTACGATACCGACGTGGCACGAGTAAAACCCCGCTTTGGGAAATGATTATGAAACCGTAAAACCGAGCTTACGAGTTACACGGAACGATTTGCTTCCCCGTGCAAATTGTAACGCCGTCTTTGTAGTCTTACGGAGCAGGTGCATTGCGATTTCAGTGGAAGAGTATTAATAAAATTACCGTTAGTCCGATAGCATCGCGCCAGTTCCATTACCCGGACAGTGGGAAGCTCGCGAGATCAAAATGAAGCTTTATCGTTCCTCTCATGCGAAACTAGACGCGTAAATCGCGGTTAAAACTCGCTCGAGATTTTCTTATCGGTTCGTTCGTTCCTCCCGGGTAATTATTGTATATACTGTTAGATCGACAACGATCCACGCTACGATTCGGACACCGCGACGTCGTTTATCGAGAGTAAATGTTATAGTTCGTGTTCCTCTCGAAACCAGTTTCAGCGCGCGGCGTTGTAAATTAGTCCGAACATCGAAAGCAGAGCGCGATCGAGAGAGAACTTGCTGCAACGAGAAGTCGCGGTTTTCTTCCGGAAACGACACTTTCAATGACTCGAACGGCAATTTGCGGCACTTAACAATTCTATGGAATTATCTTTCATGGAATTAGGAAAAGCGATTTCTGAGAAAGCGTCGTGGAAGCAAATTCTGAGCATGTAATAAAAAATCGCGCCATAACGAATATATTGTTATACAATAAACCGACCTATTGACGCTGATTCTTGTTGCGATACAAGTTTCGATACAAGCGATGGGTTTAAGCTGACGTCAGACCATGTAGGCAATGATACTAGTGATGGATCTAAGCGAATAACGCATTCGGCGTTGAATCATTAATACATTTTTCAATATCATGAGAGCTATAGACTTAAACCCACTGCTAAAACAAAAATGTATTACAGTAAAATTCCGATTATCCGGCATACATGGGACTGGGGTAATGCTGGAAAATCAAATATGCCGGATAATTGGACTATACTTACATATGAAGTGATATAAACGAGGAATATAATCGTATTATATACAGGATATACGAGATATACAGGATGTTCGGTCACCCCTGTGAAAAATTTTAATGGGAGATTCTAGAGGCCAAAATAAGACAAAAATCAAGAATACCAATTAGTTGATTGGGGCTTCGTTAAAAAGTTATTACCGTTTAAAGTTCAGCCCGTACTGAATTTTTTTCTAGAAAGTGGGTGGGATTTCGGGGGCAGGTCTATTCACCAAAAATTATTGTAATTAACTCTCGCGACCGGAAATAATTGTTCCAGAACAATTTGAAACTTTTTTTTTCTCCGAAAAATTTGGGCACCTACCCTTGGGTTAAAATTTCGTTTTGATTTTTAGTAATTTTGTTTGAAGCCCTATAGAAAAGTTGTCTAATACTTTTCTGTAGGTATCCATGGGCGCTATTTCAGAAAAAAATTTCATTGAAATATATTCACTATTGTAGGAGTTATGGATGTTTGAAAATTGGACCATTTTTATGGGGTTTTTCTAACTTTACGGGATCAAGGAACGACTTTTTCAATACTGTCAGAATTTCTATATATTCTCCACTAAAATACGCGTTGTTTGCCGTTTGAAACATTAAAATCCACCAATCCGTTCAGAAGTTGTGACGTTTTAAAGATATGCACAAAATTTTGGAGTGACATTTCAGGCCTAAAATTATATTT